TAGGAGTTGCTGGTTTCGGGTTGGGTGCTGGGCTTCGTGGTCGGTCCTGACTCTGGCCACGAGGTCGAACTCCTCGCGGGGCATAGAAACATGGGGTTCTTTCCATGGTCGCAAGGGGTGTTGAGCAGCAAATCGCTCGGGGTTGCCTCAGATCGTGGCAAAATCTGGAACGAAGGCGGGATTCGCGTATCCAGCGAGAAGGCACGAACAAGTGGTGTTGTCGTCTCGGCTGCAAACCTTGTCATTGGAAAACCCCAGAAACGTGCCAATAGGTCCGGGAAATGAATGCAGAGAGAGAGCTTGATCGTTTTCTCGTGCGGAATTGTGATGAAAGTGAATAAAATGCCTTGAGGCGAGACCGGCGAACAGCCCAGCACCCGAAGGTGTGGTTCGTGGTTGTTGAAGGAAGTAGGACGTTGAGGATCTACGCACCTTAGGTGAGTACCTTACTGCGGTAGGTCGATGGCAGCTGAGGCCCAAGCGTCAGTGAGGCACCTCCACCAACTGGTCCGTGCACAGAGGGCAGCCAACCACCAGAAAAAGAAAAATACCAGTGATAAGCGCGAGCGGTAGGCGGGCGACGGGTCAGGCGTGAAAAAGCAGGCACAAGGCAAGCGTGGCAGGGGTACTGAACCTGTTCAGGCTAGGTAGTAACTGCCAAGAGCCAGTGTAGCTAGAGAGGTATTCCTATGATATATCTATAGGAAGGGGAGACTGGCGTTGCAGGGCTCTGATTTCAGAAAAGCCGCGCCAGGCGGAAATGACGACTACCTTGCGATTTTACTCAACGCTTACAAACACGACTCCTGCTTGCTTGACGCGTTATCGAATGGGGGGATACCATCGACACAAATGGGAGGAGTTGACGATCGTCGACTCAGCAGCTTCTCTCTCATCTTCCAGGCGTGTTTCGCTGCCGAAGTAAGACACCAGCCCTGCTTTGAGTCGTGTTAAGCAAGTCGAGCTGCTTCGAAAAGCTTAGGTGAGTCAAACAGGTAACAGAAAGTCAGATCTTTGCTAATCCTCGTCCAGATTCGCGAGTATCTCAAGAAACGAATTCTGAACTGGGTCCGAACCAAGACTGGACAAGCAAGTTGCAGGCCGAGAAAGGACACTCAGATTTCGAGGGCGACGAGTCGAGCACGGTCAATGTCGCCACTATTTCGCCGGCGACATCAACAACGGCAAAGAAGGTTCTTCAGCCTGTCAATGTGATGAACCAGACTACGCCTGCTTTTTCATCAAGACCCAATGGATATACCACTATTGATCGAGACCGCTTCGAAGAAGTTGGCGTACTTGGAGAGGCTTGGGTAAATCAGGACTCCTTGACGATGAGATCCAATGGCTGACGATGGTATAGATGAACGAGTATTTCAAGGCGCGCATTAGGAACTGGGACGCAACTCGACACTGGAGCAGCAAGTTGCGGGTTGAGAAGGGATATCCGGATTTCCTTGGGGACGAGTCAAAGACAGCAGATTTCACGTATACGGACGAGGATGGCCGCATGCTGCCTCTTTTGGGTCTTTCTTCTTACGCTAAAGATTGGGGAGATAAGCACATCACATACCACATAGACGTAAAGGGGACTGTACTTGAATTCAGTAAGCCATTCCATATGAGCCAGCATCAAATGGATATGGTAAGTACCTTGCGTCTCCGTCGATTCAAGGCTTATGGCGCTGACTCTCGCAGGCACTAAAGTACTCGAAGCTTGGCCCCACGGATATTTACGGCATCGCTCGTGTCTATGATCTTAATCACAGGCATGTGATCCTCAAAGTCAGGTTCTACATCAGCCCTTGGCGCTATATTAGCGCAGGCAGACTCAAAATCAGGAGTGAAGACTATGAAGTCGCACCTGCGGAAAAATGAGCTTGCGGGCGAATGCATAGAAAAGAAGTTGGCTATGGATTGGTCTGGCTATGTCCCTTGGAGATGGCACCTGAGAAAGTTGGAGATGGAATTCAGAACATCGATACGATAGAGATCAGAGGCAGCGTGATCGATGGAACGTTGCGTCCGGCTAGGCAAATCATTCGCTTGTGCCATGTCGATGCCCAAACGACTTGCTGCAATCGACGACAACGAGTGGAGGCGAGTCCGTCGACTCAGCAGCTGCGATTTCACCTTATATAGATATAAAGTACCCTGCTTTCATCTTATCACCGCTAAAGGCTGGATGGCCTTCTCAGCCCACAACTTACTTGTTAAACATGGGTTCAGATCATAGTCTGGAATTCGCTTCATAATTTACATGTGACATATAAGATAAGAGCAGAAATAATAATCAAAGTAAGGACAATCATGATAATGACGACGACAAGGACGACGATGACAAGGACGACGATGACAAGGACGACGATGACAAGGACGACAATAAGGACGATAACGATAAGAAGGGTTTCAGTGCGTAAATCTAGCGGTGTTTCAAACAATCAACTCACCGAAGCTAGGTTCTCTAAACAGTCCGATTCTTTTGAAACTGCTCAAAGCAGGGCTAGTGTCTTCCTTGAGCGATGGTGTACCACTTGTAAAGCTGAGAAAGGCTACATGCTTTGACCAGTTGAGATCTCTCACCTTCGTGAGGAGTGGTAAAACAATAGACTTGGTGAGCAGCTTGAACTGTCATTTTCTTTGAGAATTTCCAATTCTAGCACTCACAGGCACTCAAGCATTCAGTGCTGGTCTGGTCAACAGGGACCCTACAAGCATTTTCATCATTGCTCGCATCTACGACTTAAGAGCGCAAACCTAGCGTCAAGTTTTACGTCAATTCCTAAGAACTAACCTCCGAAGGTCAGTCGATATTGGATGGCGAAAGTACAGAATTGCGCCTGTGAACGGGTGAGCTTGCGCGATGGGTCCATGGGAAGCGTGGAGAGAGACTGAATGTGGGAGAAGGATAAGGACTTTATTGAGATATGATTTTGCTTCTTTTTTGCTTCTAAATCGATTGATCTTCAGAAGCGGCATTGACCATGCTCTTGATATCACATCTGGTGGCCTAAGTCCTACAGCTTCACAATTCATGCCTTTGGCCGGTTCTTGAGCTTCTCCCGGAGACGAAGGCCCGAAGGCTCCCGGGGAACATTGGAGAAGGAACTGGATCCAGCCAACCAACGCAACCACGCCCGCACATGTGAGAGCGTGAGTGGAGCTTCGGGTCTGGCTCGCTGAAATTGCAGTGAGGACGGAGACGGAGAAAAGGGCGTCCATGCTGGGGGGAACGTCTGTCATGTCGGGGATGGTTGTGTTTGTTGCGGGGAGCCGCAAGGTGACAAGGTCTCCCAAGGGCCCAGGCACACACAGGCGGCGCCCGCCTGCAGGGTGGCAGTTCCCAGCCAACGGGCGAGGATCAGAGCTCGTGTCGGGTGGAGAATGCGCGCAGCAGCGATCGGCAGAGCGATGCAGGAACAACTCCTGGGGTGAGAGAGACTGTCAGGTCACAGGTGATGTTGACGGGTGGTGGTGTTATTCATAGAAATCGGGTTTCTCCTGCCCTTGGTCAACATTCAATTGAGTAAGAGTATCAGCTGAAGATTTCTTCCGCCTCAGGCTGTGTGAGACAACAGAGAAGAAAAACACCCGAATGATAAGGCGGTTCCCAAGGTTCAATGTTTTTGTTTTTTTAACCTTTTCAGTGTATGATTAAAGTCTCCATCTGGTAGGCCGGGTTGTCCGGTGGTCGGCGCTGCAGAGCAGATTGCTGTTGCTTCTTGTTTGACAAGGAAGTCATTACCTCGAACGCGAAACTTTGTTTAAATTGGTTCAATCAGATGTTTAGTCGTGGGTCCCTTTCTTCCTTCTTGAACTGGTCGGCGCTCGGTGCAGCTCTTCCCTCCTCCTTCTCATTGAGGTGGACAGTGCCGCCACCCTTGTCACCTCCAACGCGCCATGTCATGCCAACCCGGCCGGCAGTCAGAGCATCTCCGTCTCCATCTCCCACCTCTCAGCAACCGCTGCTACCGTGACGGCGCCGCGACTCGGCGAGGACACCTGAAATCAAATCACGCTCTGCGACGGCACGTTCAATCCGTATGTAATTTTCCGCTGGGGTGTGGCAAAGATTACTTACTTGTACTAGCACCTAGCTCGAGTGAGGCGTCGATACGGGTGTCTCAGCACAGCTGCAAGCCACCACCAAGCCTCTTCAACGCGTCCGTTGAGCTGCTGGCACGTTCCCTGAGCACCTGTCATCCAATCATACCGCACGGCCGATGCCAATTGCCCGTTGTTATTTGTTCCTCCCGACGAGCAAGCCGTCCGTCCTGTCTGGGACCTGCAGATCAGCTCTAAACGATACCCAAGACATGACATATGAAGCGCGGCCTTCTTTATTTGCTACTCGAGAAGGAGGAAAACACTTCTGTGGCGTTCCATCAGCCAAGTGCCTCAAGGAGCCTGTCGAGTCAATTGGATGTCACCCTAATGTGCTGCGTGGAAGTTTTTTCCCCAGTTGCCCGTCTCGTTTTGGTCGGCAACCCAGAATCAAGGTTGCATGTTCCTGGCCACCACCCCGGCTGGACCAGTTGAACCGCGAGTCGTCCAGGTCTAGCTCGGTAGCTCTGTGGTGCCGCTGGTGACGACCCCAGCAGAAATGCAAAGCTAACGCCTGGCTAAACCAAACAAGCGTGACGAGCTACCTTGCACACCCTCTCCACCATCCACTTCCCCCAATGACGGCGCGGGCTGTCGGCGCGCATACCTGGGATAAGCTTTGCGAGCCCAGCAGAATTGGGAATTGGACCAGCGAGCCCTCCTGGTCTTAGTCTTTGGAGATGGGCAGGTCTCGGCAGGGGTTCTCCGTACGTGAAAGCGGTGGCTTGAGAGGTGGAAGCGCATATTTATCACCCCCTTCCCGTTCCTCGACTTCTTTGAACTTCTCCTCACGTCACGCATCATAATCCCAAAGTCGACCGTCCGTCTGTACAACTTCGTCATCGTATCTGCCGAATCTCGCCTTTCGACTATCACGTCTTACAACACAAATCAAAATGAAGTTCTCTCTCGCCCTCCTTGCTGCCGGCCTCGTTGCCGCCCAGGACTTCTCCGGACAGCCTGACTGCGCCGTACGTTGCTCCTCCCAACAACCATCTAAACAACAAGCCGGCTAATAACTTTGCCATAGATCCCCTGCCTTCGCGATGCCATCCCCAAGGTTGGCTGCGCCCTGACCGACACTGCCTGCCAGTGCGCCTCCGACAAGCAGGAGGCCCTCGTCCCCGTCGCCGCTCCCTGCCTGCTCTCCGCCTGCAGCTCCGCCGACCTGGGTAAGGCCCAGGCCGCTGCCGCCGCCGCTTGCCAGAAGTTCCTGGCCACCGCCAGCGGCTCCACCAAGCCTACCGGCTCTGCCGCCTCCGCCGCGTCCTCCGCTGCCGGCGCTCTCTCTTCTGCCGCCGCCTCCGTCAGCGCCTCTGCCTCCGCTGCCATCACCTCCGCCGCCTCTGTTGCGTCTTCCGCTGCCTCCGTCGCTTCCTCTGCTGCCTCCGTTGCCGCTTCCGCCTCCCGCAACGCGACTGCTTCCAGCACCACCCTCTCCGGCAGCCGCACTCCCTCTGCCTCCGCCACCGGCACCGGTGCCAGCGCTACTGCCTCTGCTACCGGTGCCGCCGGCCAGGCTACTGCTGCTGTTGGCGGTGTTGCCGTTGCTGCTCTGTTCGGTATCGTTGCCGCCCTCTAAGCGCCTTCAGCGTATCAAGGGGATGTCCAGATTGGATGGGGAAAAGGGGTTTTCGTTTCTAGCGCAACAAGACTTGGGATGTGTTGGATGATTTCTACAATTGAACGTTCTAGACTTAATGCGAATTGGACAGGAAACACCAAAAAAGTTTCGTCATGATCACGACCTGTTCTGTTGCCATGGCATCAGCACCTTGTTAGGAAACAGGAGGTATATATTTAATTGAACACATCAAGAATCAGCAGCCGTTCTTTCTTTTGGATCGACTTGTGATACGAGGGACAGCTTTCGCATGCCGATTGTCTGGGCGGCCTCTGCAGCCACTCGGGGATTTACTTCGGGAGAGGGGTAAAGGAAACTGAATCAATGCGGGCGCGGAAGGTAAACTCACAACCTCTTTCCTTCAAGCCTTGATGGCGCAGCAGGTGCCGGCTGATGCCAAGATGACGGACGAAGTTTCCCGCTGCTGACGACATCCGTCCGGTTTGCGTTTGGGCTTCAACCTTCCTTTCTTATCAACGGGTCTGCGTCAATTGGTAGTGGGCTGGAGGTGGGATGGATGGCTGAGGCTTGGGATCCCTGGGGCTGTGGAAGCTTAAACTGCCGTACACGTACACACACCTCTTTGGGGACTTGTGGACTATGGGAAAGACTTGATTTCAAGTCATGGTCTTTTGTGCCTTTTCGTTTCTTATGTAATCTATAACGGTGTTCGACCCGTTGCAGTCAAACTGTAATGGCAGTATGCGACTGATTCATACGCGGTTGAGACCCGTTCACCAAGAGGGCGTCTGTGATGCCTATCTTGTATATGCAGAACCGCCTTGAGGTGTTGGCGCCTCATGAGCTTATACTCTGGAATCTTTTTACAAATTGCTCAAACAAGTCAGCATCAACGGAAAGATGTGAGCTACATCCGTCGAAGACTGATCGCATAAATCTCCAGTGTCCAGCCGATCCCGCCGGCTCTCAATCTCTTCAACAACATCGGTCTCGCTCAACATCCTCGCCACACGATGATGCATGTCTAAGAAATCGCGATCTGGAAGGTCGAGCGCGTTGTGGGCTGAGAGGACCATCTTGGTGATTAAGTAGCCGGTATTAAACGGGTAGCCCGACGATATGCGCCCCAGAACGACGACTTCGTACTCATTCTCCTGCAATTATAGGGGTCAACATCTGGAACGGATGATTTGTGGGTGAAAGAAGGGTAGATATACCGTCGGAAGTGGTTTGAACGCCAAGTGACACTCTCCAAAGTCGGACGACACGCTCTCGTTCAGGGTGAGCACGTTAGCTGGCTGGTCGATACTCGAACTGTCGATCTTGCCGGCCAAGGCAGGGAAGTACCGGTGTATCGACCACCAGATCGCTCTTTTCGCCTCGGTTTCTGGGAGCGTGTCCTCGGCGTGGTCTTTTAGCCCGTAAGGCAGTATATGGCGGGACGCAGTGTAAGCTACTGGTCCGGTCTCGGGCTCGGGCGCATCTTGTACGTGGTGGATATCGATATTGCCGGTGTAGACACAGCGGCGGCCGTCGCGGGCGAAAGTGGTTTCGCTTAGGTGCTTGATCCCGTTGGCGTGTTGAGACACGGAACCGAGGAGGTCGTGTCTGTGTTTTAGAGAGGGCGGTCCGAGGCTTAGGATTTTAACTGAGTTGGACAGCTCATCAGCGATCTCCTTCAACTTAGAATGGTAGGGAGGTGAGTCATCTGACTTACATGGAATGAGAATGGCTGTGAGCAGGTGGTCGCTGAGCTGTTGCATACAGGGCATGCCGCCTAGCTTGGCGCAAGCGAGGACATCGTCTACAAAGTTCCCCAGACCGTCATCTGGAAGGTGCTCGCGAAAGGCTTTGAGAACGGCGAGAGCTTTTGCCTCAGCAGGGATGTCTGACGAGGAGCTGTTAAGGATGACGTCGCATTGCTCTAATCTCTCGTGACGATTGTCATTTTCTTCTTCATCGTGTGAAGATGTTGAAATTGTTGACGACGAGGACGAGGAGGGGGAGGAGAATGATGATGACGATGGAGGGGCTGAAACACGCAGCAAAGGATGCGGTGCGATCAGACTGTGCGTGGAGTTTGCCATCTTGGGCGGTTCTCAAAGTCCTACGCTGAGGAATGGGAGTTGAGAGCCTCGTGTGGTTTTGAACCGTTAGTGTTGTCACGATGTACTTTCTTATTTCTATCTATCAATCAAAATTCGTCCATGTATTATTGCGAACATAGATGGTCTCTGGTTATAAGATGGCAAATACTTCAGGGTTGGCCCAGCAGGCCTGTTGTAGATGGACATATATCTACCATAGAGGTGCAGACTATCGGTCTCAAGGTACGTGGATTTCAAGTTCCACAAGTGTATCCATTTAAGACTTTACAGGAATTGGTTGTTTTTATTCTTATGATCCCATTCACCTAGGCCACCATCACGATAATCGGTTGTAGGCCACGAGACTGTCTTGGGATCGATTGCAATCTCACAAACCCGTAATGATGATACTCAAGGATGGAAAAAGATGGAACAACCTGAGTGGTGAGATCAATCATCGCAGTCAGACAGACTCATGATGTTTTCCTCAACTATGGACTGCTGGGTCACAGTTATGTTTGGAAAAAAACTTTTGAGTGATGTCACTCGAGGCTGAGCAGACCGTCGATCGTCTTTTCCTCAGTACTTTTGCTTACGGAATTTGTGGTTGCTTATTTCTCTCACAAAGTTCTGCAAGAAACTTGTTTTCCGGCTGACTGAACACAAATGCCGTCAGCCTTTCCTACTGTATAAAACATGGCGGTCAGTCTCAGCCAATAAGTTTGTGCGTCATTGTTCTTGGCAAGGACACCTACGTCAAGAACAAGAGCTGGTCATATACGTAAGGAGCAAGACTTCATCGCACGAAGATCCCCCTTTCTTACTTGCTCTTTAAAACACGTAGCCTTTGCAGAATGTGTGAGCCATAAAAAGTCGAGGCTGGCCCAAACTTGCAGGTACTAGGTACGCTAGCCTTGATATCGTGATTCCAGAGTTAAAGACTGCTCTTGATAAAAGATTCTCTGACCAATAGTGATGGCCAATTTTTGCCCCGCTGATATCAACTGCTCTATGAACTATTTGGCCCCAGAGTTGAATAGCGACATTGCAGGAACAGGAGTAAGTCCCAGGGCAAGCTACCGCAGCAGCCTCGTTCGCTGGAGGCAGATTAGATGAATATCGTCGCTTACTCCTTGACGTAGGTCGTCATTGGTTTCGTAGGAACAGCCTATCTTGTGTTGTTCCTCCTCTTCATCCACTACCTAGTGGCGTTCGACCCCATTCTCCCTCCCCCTCCAAGAGGAAGCGTTCGCTCTGATCAAGCCAGTCTCCAACATGGACAGCAAAACGAAGAGTGTTCTGGGGGAAGGAGAAGTAGTCCAGACTACTGGAAGCCGAACACTGTTGACGTTCAGCTCCTTACATTTGTAAGACAAGCTACTAAGAAGATTCTCCGGCGATGTCCGGGCTCACCCGCCGAGTTCGGGACCCGTCATTCCGCTCACATTAAACGTTGCGTTGACCGAGTAATACCCCACAATGTTGAATTCAGGTACAAAACTGAGTCTTAGATATAGGCCATTTGCAACATGTGCGACATTCAAATCATAACCGGCATAAGCGTTCTTACTGGAGGTTTCATCTGCCTAGATGAGAATATGTCCTCTCACCACTGGCAACTGATTGTCTATCTTGCATGGTTCTCGAGTATCACTCACCTCTCTGCCTTGACTTCTCTCCGAAGATATCTGCAGGTTCATGCACGAGAGAAGTATGTGCGGCTATCTTTAATGCTTTTACTACTGATGATGCTTGTGACGGCAATGGTGCCTACAGCATTCTTCAACTGGCGGAGTTCTATTGAGGAGACAACACGAGACGACACTGTTGCACGTGACGACACTGCCGCCTATCCAAAAATGCCTGCGGTATGCTTTTTCTCAATCAAATGTGGGAAGGCACTTTACTCTCAAGGAACTTACGACAGTTCTACAATAGTCCCTTTCACACGTTCAATTGCGTTCCAGGAAACGATTATATCTCTCACGCTCCTGATAATTAGTTTTATCTCCAGGGTAATCAAATTATCGACACGCACTTCCAGCGTCCTGCATCGAGTAATTATACGACCCATCAGCAAGTACCTCCATGAGATTTCCAAGAGATTGGATAGCAATCCTATCCCCAGCGCCAGTAGTTCTTCTTTCATCGAGCCCCATTCCAGTCTACGTGTATGGACGACGGTCATCAAAATACCTACATCAGCAGTGGTAATAGCTGTGCAAAAACAAACCATACTACTAAACTCCATGTTATTAGAGGTATTGACGCAATTTCATCTTGTGTATTATGAAATAGCTGATGCATTACTGTTTAGCAATATTGGCTGTTAGTCATTCTACTTTGGGGAACTTCGAAACTCAAGCGGTCCCTCGTTGAGGAGTGGCATTATGAAAAGCTTTCTGGTCGCGAACCTTCTCCCTTCTGGAATGCAGAGATTGAAGTCGAAGGAGAAAATGTTATAGCCAATAATACGCGATGGGAATTTGGCCAAATACTTCCGATCTTACTGCTGGCTGCCCCGCTGAGCACTATGCTTGGTAATTTCGCCTCGACCACAAACTCCTCCCCAAATCAAATCTCAGGGGCTGCTGAGTCGACTATCCAAACGCAATCTCTGGATGTAGTGGGCATAGTGGGCAGCTACAGAAGATCACGCTCTTCTGAAGCACAAGATAGGCCGCAACAGCTCAGCCAGCGATACACCCATGACAGCTACAGAACAAGTCGCCTAGAGCTCTCGACAACACTGACGGATCCACATTCAGATGCCAAAGGAAAGTGGATGCTGCCGTATTTGGCTTCGAGCTGTGTTGTGCTTTGCGGGCATACCTTCGGCTTGTTTGGCTACGCAACAGAAACGTTCCTTCGTGGAACCGAATTAGGCTTATTGGGACTTTGGATGCCAATAGATTACTTGTTCAGGATTAAAGGAGTTTTCTTCCTGGCTATCCTGAGTTATCTTTTTGCGGGTCATGCAATCATTCTATTTGGTCTTGCGATGGATGCATGGCAGGGACAGCTGAACTCCGCAATATACTGGGGTTTTGCGGTGGTCGTTCACACTATGCACCTCTTGATCATTTATCTACCGATGGATTGGGTATTTACCAAGAGATTGTGTATTATAGTCTCTATGGGGCTTGGGTTACTTCTGGTGTTTGCTCTCACTTTTGTTCTGGTTCAGCTTTCGAAGATATTTTCGAGTAGAGCATCTCGGGAGGGAAATGCGGCTGGGGATGGGCCTCATTTTTCTTAGGATTATGATCACAGGTGCAGCACTGGGAACCTTTTTACCATATCTGCCAGCATTCGAAAAGAATAGTTAAGGCTTGAGCTTTGCAGAACACTTAGCCCAAATTTCAACATTCGCCACTTCAAGCAGTCTATCAGCTGTGACAGCTCCACCGTCCATGAAACATCTTCGTCGCCTCATTCAGACACGAAACTGTCCCTACGGTCACCAATTCAAGCATTCGGTCGTGAAGTCTGATGCCAACGTAAGAATGAGGGAAAGTAATGGGATACTAAGGACCCTCAAATCGCAACATGCAACTCACTCGGGATCAACTAAGGTCTTGGCGTGGGTGCAGCTATTGCAGCCACATTACCCAACCTGAACCATCTACGCGGGAAATCTCAGAATTTCAGCGAATCAACACCGACCCAACCTGGTGGTTGACTTTCGACTTTTCAGCTTTCGACGCCATGTTGGATCACGCTGCGCCGTCGGGATGTTGGGTAGTCGGGAGGATTCGCAGGGAATGCAAGGAAGGATTTGGGACCCCGCGGCTGCCGCCCACCGCGGCCCCCACCATCGGACCTTAACGCCTGCCAAAAGGGCACTAACACGGACCAGGTGCCCCTCCTGGAGCGAGCCAGAACGCGGCGGACTGGGTGATGGACGGGGATGTTGGTCTCTGAAAGGCAGGTTCGCCGGCGCACCGTCCACTGGAGGAGGGGGAGTCGGCCGGTTCCGCCTCCCAGGGCCGGTTGCGGTGTGTTGGTCCGGGCCAGTTCACAGTGGCTGGCCAGTCAGGCGTGCGGAACGTCACATGCAGACCACCCAACCCTCGTGGCAACTGAAGAAGCTCCCCACCTTCCACCCTGTCACTGGCGCGATACCTTGCAGTTAGCGATAATGGATAGCGCAAGCTCCCCTAGCACCTGAAAGTTTTTTCCCTTTTCTTTTTTGTTGGCTGATGCTGGGATGTCACCTCGATAAATTCCTCCCGTCGCCGTCTAACCTCGCCTCTCACCACCTCTGGTCCCCCTCCTCCTGCGACTGAGAGTTTTGCGCCGGTCTCGATTGCGACCAGTTTCGTCACGCGCCGCCCAAAGGAAGACAGGCCATCGCTGTCTCCTGTAGTCTGCTCACAACACCACCAGCTCCAAGCTCTTGGACGACAATCATATGTTGCGCGCCATCTCGGCCGACTTCTTCAATTACCACTTCCCGGCGCATCGGTCTATGTGCCGTTCTATCGCAAGATAGAATCACCAGCAGGCGACTTTGAGTCTTTGCGCTTGCTGACAGGGGACGAGAAAGACCGAATAGCAGTGTTATTCACGTAATCATCACTTATCGCGACAAGACATCTCAATTGGAGACTGAGACCTGTCGCGCGAACGACATCGTTTGACCGAGCTTGTACGTAGGTATGTCGAACGAATGAGATAGTACCCTCGCGCATTGTGTGCGATGGCGGCTGACCGCATCGCCAGATTGTATGCCAGGCGTTGCCTCACGAATCGAGTCCGTACTGTCGCTACCGCTCTCGCGATTGCCTTTCACCACCTCCAGAACCTCCGATCCTCAACGAGAGAGACACGCCTACGAACCACTGCCCACGATGGCCGCCGAGGATACCCCCAAGAACCTCGACCACTCCCCGGTGACGACCACGCAGATCACCGGTGGCATCGATGAGTCTGAGCTGGTCAACCAGGGTCTGCAGAACATCGAAGCGCAAAAAGTCCACTGGTGGAGCTACTTCACCACCGTCGACTTCTGGATCGTCCTCGTCATTGGCCAGATTCTCGCCTTGTGCATCACCTCGACGAACACCTTCACCAACCTCCTGTCTACCAATGGTGTTTCGATCCCGGCCTTCCAGACTGTCTTCAACTACATTCTCCTCTTCCTCATCTACTTCCCCATTACCATCTGGCACTATGGAGTGAAGAGGTGGGCCAAGATCCTGCTTAAGGACGGCTGGAAGTACTTCATCCTCTCATTCCTTGACGTTGAGGGCAACTACTTCACGGTTCTGGCCTACCGCTACACCAACATCTTGTCGGCCCAGCTGCTCAACTTCTGGGCCATTGTCATCGTGATCATCCTCTCCTTCACCCTTCTGAAGGTGCGCTACAAGATCTTCCAGATCCTTGGTATTATCGTCGCCATCGGTGGATGCGGTGTCCTTCTGGCCTCTGACCACATCACCGGTTCCAACGGCGGTCCTGGTGTCGATCTGTTGAAGGGCGATCTCTTCGCTTTGCTGGGTGCCACGCTTTACGGTGTCACCAACGTCACTGAGGAGTGGTTCGTCAGCAAGCGCCCCGTCTATGAAGTTCTCGCCTTCATGGGCATGTGGGGAATGTGCATCAACGGCGTGCAAGCTGCCATTTTCGACCGTCAGTCCTTCCAAGAGGCGACGTGGGACGGCGCCGCTGCCGGATACCTGGTCGGCTACACTCTGGCCCTCTGCCTGTTCTACAGCTTGGTGCCTGTGCTGTTGCGCATGGCCAGTGCAGCCTTTTACAACATCTCGCTGCTTACGGGCAACTTTTGGGGAATCATCATTGGCGTCAACGTCTTTGGCTACACCATCCACTGGATGTACCCCATTGCCTTCGTGCTCATCATCCTCGGCCAAATCGCGTACTTCCTTGCTGGCAGCATGTTGGGCGATTCCAAGAAGCCTTGGTTGGGCGACGCCCAGGAGGACGGTGTTGCTGGTCTGGGCACTGCGAAGCTCAAGGCCATCAACGCCGCACGAAAGAGACAGCTTGCTGCTTCCGCGGGGCAGTTTGCTTAAGAGAGTGCTGTCGCTGTCGAGTGACGAATCCAGGGGTTGAAGGGGTTGTTTCGACAAGAGTTACGGTTTTAATGCAGGGGCATTTGACGACAGTTGGATGCCGAGACAGATGTCTTGGCCCTGGTTTATGTTCAGACGGCGAAGACGATCCCCTTTCATCTGCTCAGCTTGGATATGAGCACTCGATTTTCAGTGAGAAGGAATAGCTAATATACCTTATCATACACTATCAATTTGCGTCGTAATCTCAGCTAGCCCATTTTGGGTCTCCTCTCTCCGGCGCGGTCAGGCCTGGTGTGCGGAAAATCTCGGTCTGTCCAAGGTATGAGCCGCACGGGCATATCGACAGCGTCATGCTGCTTTCGTGGGTGGCACTGGCCGGTGGGCGCCCAACACTTTTGCTGGCCAGAACTCTGGGAACTCGATACAACCTTAGACTATGCCTAGCAAGCCCTGCTTTGCTCGGACGGAAAGAGAGTCACTCAAGGACGGCGGCTTAGGAAGAGAGTTTGGTTGTCTTGTATGGTTCAGTTGATTACTTTCTCTTTTCTCAGTTGCTTGTGCGCCCTGCCAAGCAGACCCATCGCTGTCGCGTCAGTGACTTTCCGGCCAAGACTTGAAGGCTGTGCAATTAGAAACGGTTACATTCAAATTCGACAGAAAGGTTTGACAGGAGGCCGTCGAGGATGCGCATCCGGCAGGGATCAAGACTCCTATCTCGTCCCGTCCCACAAGTACAACAGGACGCCCTCAACCGTCGCACCGGAATTTGGTCGCACTGCGGCGCACTTGTCCAGTTTCTCGTCTCACGACATAAGACTAAGAGCCCCCAGTGTCTCTTCGTATTGTTGCAATTCCCGTGCGGACCGGACGGTGGGCCGCCGCCTCGGCACGCGTCAAGATTCTCACTACCAAGCCCCTCCCGTGCCGCGTGTGCGTTCGTTGGCGCTAAGCAGCCGGGCGACGAAAGCCCCGTCCGTCAGCAATCTGTCTTTGCTGGACTATCGTGATTGGGGGCCAAGGGTCAACCCAGACCCAAGGAACCTCCCGAGGAGACCGTACAAATGGTGCGTCACCGCCCAGGCGGCAGAGGCACCAGGCAAAAGGCACCCGCCCGATTGGTCCGACTGCTCGTACAGAGACCGAAGACCACAATACTCTGTGTATCCTGATGCGAACATCCGTTGCCCGAGATGGGCCTCGTCGGGTCTTGGGATTTTTCTTGGTATTGGCCTTTGGTTATCTGATTAGCTGCCTGTCGTCCTATAATAAAAGGGTTTATTCCTCTTAATTGCTGCATAGTTGCGCTGGCAGGCTTTGATTAGAGGCTCAAGCAGCTCATCTAACAACCCTTCTCTCCGTCGCTATCTGTCTTATTTCCCGTCTAGTCCTGCCATCCCTACACCAGCGGCGACAAATCATTTCATCCTTCTGGAGTCTAAAAAATCTTTTGCCTTTCTTGCTGTAGAGGCACAAACGCCGGGCAGTCCGGCGCGCCAAGACCTTCCATACACAAGAGCCTCCCCTGCCGCCGCGTCTCAGAATCCCAAGCAGTCTTCATCTCATGTCTATCCGCAGAGCCCTTTGACTCTACTTTACTCAACTTTACCTCGATCCCGACCAAGGATTGGCCCGGAACGATCGTCCTGAGGCGCCCGTCGAGCCCGATCGATCACTAAGAAAATCAAAAGAGACATCCAGGAAAAGTCTCCGCCTGAACGATCCCCCCTCCCCCCTCCGCTTAGGTGCCCTCCCACACGGCCGACCTGCGAACCCTGACGTGCGGCGGTTGCTCCGGGGTAGGGGAGCTTACGAGTCGTCGCAACAAAACACAAAGTCTATTTTCGCACACTCTCTCCGCCCCCCCTTTGGTTCGGCGAAAAAGTGGATTGTTTATTGGCACTGCAAGTTAGTTACGCGTAACTTGCAGAGGAAAGAGGGAAAAAGGAGGGAGGGAGGTCAGAGCTCAACGGCTGCTTGTTGGAGCGTCATCTGATATAGACGCGGGGTGTTCGCTCGAACACATTCGCCTCTTGATCTTTCCGATCGTTTCTGTTTGTGTGTGTGTGTAAGGGCAGCATACGCAGGTCTGTTCTCACGTTTAGAAAGTCAGTCTCCCCCGTCATCTTTACTTTCTTTCATCACGTTGGGATCTAAGAGCGTTTTCTTTTCTGCTGTAACCCCCTTCTCTCGCCTGACAGGCTTTCTTTCCCACATCACGAGTTTCGGGGGGAGAGGAACACAAGCGAGACACAGCGAGTGTGTGAGAGGGAAAAGGAGAAAGAGGAAGACACAGCAAGGAGGGAGGGGAAAAGAGACGACGTCCGATCATGGGACCGACTAACACCGACGCGATGATAGTGAACCAATCTGGCTGGGCGCATCTCCGCTCGGCTGGCGCCTCGCGCCGGTCGAGAATCATCATCGCCGCCCTGATCATGTTCCTCGTGTCGGCGGCGCTGGTGCTGCAGCCCGACTGGCATGTCGCCACATCCGGGCTGCGCGTGCCCGGCTTACATCGCCCTGCGGCGTCAGGGTCTAATACTACGCCCATACCAGACGGAGGAGGAGGAGGAGGGCCTTCATCAGAGACCACGAGCGACACGGATTCCGGAGTTCTGGCTTCGATACTCACGCCGGATGAGGACGGCGTGCTCCTCTCGGCCGGCAGCCCCGTCTTCACCTCGCCCAACGGGCGGTACTCGCTCGTCCTGCAGCCCGACGGGGATCTGGTCCTGTCGCACAACGACCTCGACGGCGCGGCGCACGCGCTGTGGTGGACCGACACGGGCGACAAGCATTCGGGCGGCCGCACCGTTACTGTGGAGAAGAAGGGTGGGCATGTGCGGATGGTGGTGAATGCGATGCTGAAGAACACGTGGGTGACGGTCTGGCACAGCGATCTCCTCACGATGTGCAAGAACCAAGCGACAGCAGAAGGAGGTGCTCTTGCCAAGAAGAGCGGCGGCGCCCGCGGGCACCTGGAGCTCTCCAACGACGGGAAGCTCACCCTCGCGGGCGCGTGCGACCTGCGCATCCCGCCGGACCACCGCGAGAAGACTCGCAGCCTGGCCGTCATCGTCGCGGGGCTGTACCGCACGAACCACGTCACCTGCAAGACGCACATGGAGCACCTCGTCGATGGACACCCGTCCTTCACCAAGATTGATGTGTTTGCGTACATTCTGTACGAGCCCGCGGACGTGGACGTGCACGGGCGCACGAAGGAGAGCATCGAGGCGGAGCTGCGGGCGTGTTACGGGACGCATCTGAGGTCGGTGGACGTGGTGCCTGTTGCCGAGGCGGAGGTGGAGTACCCCGGTGGCGAGGCGGCGATGCTGCTCCCGTGCGGGGATAGGTTGAGGCGGCTGAATAACCAGCTGAGGACGGTGTCGTTGGCGGCGCAGCGGTGGTGGGCGTGGACTGTGGCGAACGGGTTCACGCATGATACGGTGATGCGGATCCGGCCGGACACGTCGTTTTGGGCGCGGCCTGGGTTTAAGAGTCTGGAGGAGCTGGGTGACGCGTTGGTGTTGCCGCATCCGAAGGGGGAGCATTACTTTTATTGTGCGCGGATGAAGGGCAGCGTTGGTGTTGGTAAGTACATGCCTTGATTATCTCACTTGAGACTGTGAAGTGCTGGACTAACACGTGAGAAATAGGCCCGACTGACCAGATCGCGTACGGCAACGCGGCGTCGATGCAGCAGTGGCTGTACATGTACGACCGGTTCGCGCAGATGGTGGATCTGGCGTCGAACCCGGACCGGCCGGCGCTGCGGGACTTCTCCGGGTGCGAGGACATGCCGTCGGGCCCGCTGGCGAGCGACTGTCCGCGCCCGGCGCCGTGCTCGATCGAGTGCCTCGTCGCGTGGTACCTGGACGCGCGCGGAGTGGACTTCCGGATCGAGTGGGGGTGGGAGCAGAACCCGCTGCGGTGGAAGGACATCGGGATGCTGGGCGCGGAGGAGGAGAGGATGGCGGATCAGCATCAGGAGGATAAGGATGATGGGATGACGTGGGGCTGAGAAAGAGAAGTTGAGAATGAGATGGGATGAGTTTCTTTTGTGTCTTGCTTTGGTTTCTTGGGTATAGCGTGGTGTTGGGGTTGGGACTGGATTGCTTCGCCATGTGACTTTGGGCGTTTGGCTGGCGGCATTGGGGGAACGGGGTTGTGAATGGTGAAATGGTGTAGAGTAGCTCACACCTTTGAGAGAACAAAAATGAAACAGAAGCCAAGATTTGACGGCTTGATATATTCATGAACACCATGCGTCTGCTGGCACCAAAGTGAATGATGTTCCAGACATGTGGTAGAAATCAGGCCACTGGGCTGAGGAGGGGCTCATCTGACCCGGGGACGTTGATTACCGCTGGCAGCAGGCAATGTCGGCTTTGGCTTGAGGCGCGGAGACACGGTGAGTGCTTCATTTCCACTGCCACGCATCGTGAGATGTGGTTGACGATGGTGGATGAAGTTGGATGAGGTGAGATGGAACATTATGCTCACCTAAGGTAGTCAGGGGGGGGATGCGCGCGGGGTTCCGGAGTGGGTCTGTTGGCTGAACTCTTGCCCTTTTGGGACGGGCTCCGGATGAGCGGTGCGTTACGGCCGGTTGCACATAAGTTCATTTACACACTTATTTTCCATTTTATGAAGAAGGAAAGTGTATGCGTCAGTCAACAATGAATCACAAGACGCATGTCAATAGTGTGTGCGGTATAGCATCATAGCCGTTCTCGAATAGAAGACAACGCAACCACGAGAGACGGATGTCAACGAGTGTGAAGCGGACATCGATAGTGAAAGGATGAAGATCATGAGGCCCAGAACGACAGCATCCACGTGGAATTCGGCATGGGTGCGCGGGGAAAAAGGCTTGGACTGGGGCATCTCCAGCCAGCTTGGCACGGGAATAGAACATCAGACCGGGGAACGCTGGAAGCTGTTGTCTAGGCCATGTTTGCCCATGATTCGGCAGACGCCTCTTTTACTCGGCA